TGGGGTGATGAAACAACAGTGTAGATAGAGGCTTAGTGCATCAGACAGTGGGCTCCGGAACACCCAAGTTCAAGCCCCCAGCTTGACACTTAAACTCTGGGTGACCCTGGGAAGCCGAGTCAACTTCACTGAGTCTCTGTTGCATCTGGAAGGTGGGAGATGCTATCAACATGACAACTGTGAAAATTACAGGAGATACTGTGTGGACTGTGCCTAGAGACTTCTCTCCCGGATAAAAGGAGGGAGGGGAGCGTAACATCACAACAGAGAAAGCTGGCTGGCAGGCACAACCTCAGCCAGGTGATCAAGGTCAACATCAACATGACAAGTCACACGGACAGCATGGACCTGCCGGACAAAGCGCTTTGCCGGACTGTAGTCAGGCTCCTCAACCTGCCCCTGTGACCTCCTTGTAAAATCCAGTTCTAGCAAAACACCTGCTGAGTCAGTTCCGCCAGAACCCCCCATGCCTGGTATCTGATCAAGCTCCTCCTCCACCGCCACCCCGAGTTATCTTCAGCAACAGCCATGTTAGGTCAGTTTAGCCAGAACCCCTCCCCCCATGACGTTTCCTCTTTATTGTCATCCACTGACCCCACCCTGCTCCTCGGCGGTAAGTCCCCACTTTTCCTTGTTGTATTTAGAGTTGAGCCCTATCTCCCTCTCCCACTGCAACACCCCACTGCAGTGGTCCCCCACACCCAACGAGATGTTCCTGAATATGTCTCCTTCCTATCTGTAACAAAGGTCACTGTAGATTTGTTTCTTTAACTGTGATGAGAATGGCACTTTCCTCAATGGTCCTCCTCCCCAAACCCCATAACTCCAGTCTAATCATGAGAAAAACATCAGACAAATCCCAGTTGTGGGACATTCTACAAATTACCTGACAAGTACTCCACAAACTGTTAAAGTCATAAAGTCTGAGCAACTGTCACAACCAAGGAGCCTAAGGGGGCATGACAGCTAACTGGAATGTGGGCTCAAGAACAGAAAAGGGGCATCAGGAAAACACTGAGGAGGTCAGAATAAAGAACGGACTTGAGTTAATAATAAAAATGAATCACTATGGATTCATTTGTTGTGTGGGATGTATCACACTAACGTAAGATCCTACCAAGAGGGAAAACTGGGTGCGGGGTATACGGGAATTCTCTGTAGAATCTTTGCAGGTTTTCTATAAGTCTAAACTATTCTAAAATCAAAGTACATTTTATGAAAGTGGGGTCTAGCTTAGACCCAACTCAACAAGAGTGCAAGGTAGGGATGGTGACTTGGCTGGCTACCGGGTCCTCTCCACACTGTCCCCAAGCCTTCCCAGGGGTGGGGGGAACTCATGCAATGGACAGAAGATGGTGGCCGGGTTCCCGGGAGAACAGGAGGTAGACAGGAGTGGCTGACCCAGGGTACTCCTGAAGAATTGAGTGGACAGGCCTTGGTGATTGTTTGGCTGAGCCAAGTAACGGGAAGAGAAAAGGCAAAGATGGCCCCTGCTGCCACCGCAGGCCCGGTTTCTGGTTCCGCTTGGGATGGCCGATGGCATCTTTGTTGACAGTGTATGGGGTAGAAATCCATGGTACCCAAGCTTGAGCGGATTCTCCACCCAGCCCCAAAACACTTCTGTTTCCCGCTGACTCTCCCACAAGCCCCACACATGGGAAATTTTAAACTTTCCCACTCTTAAGTCACCTGCCTCACAGCAAACCCGTCTCCCAGGAGATGATGCATCTCCCACTTCACAGAGGGAACAGAAACCACACGAAAAGAACCCCCTCA